CGGGATCAGGTGGACCAAACAAGCATTACTAGTCCACAGTCCGCTTCCTATTAGAGAATTTTAGATAACGGGATAATCACATTTCAAGGCTGAGCTCCCATATCTAGATCACAACACTAAGATACGCCAAACGGAGTGGCTTTCCAAACGAGCAAAACAAAATTAGTTTTCTGATAAGGTTGGGAAAAATTCCAGAACATTGTACGATGGACCGGGGGCTCTGTACAAATAAACAAGGCTAGAAACAGATGCGGGGGCCAAACTGGGAGTTAGATATGCGCAGTGAACGAATGGCTGGCGTGACTTCATTGCTTAAAACCGAAAGCAAGTTTATAGCCCAAGCCTTAACGCATCACAGCCCTTTTATCATTAGTAAGCGTAACGCATCGGCATGCATGATGCAATTGTAACGCATACATGGGCAGGGAGCAAGACAAACGGGCTGAACAAGTAATGTGTGTAGGTTGTATTGGATTGACAATCCAAATCATTCAAGAGCACCTACATATGCGTCATCGGTCATGCTGAATTAATGCGCAAAGGGAGGGCATTCAACTTCCAAAGCTGCGCTTTTTATGGACCAAACATTGAGATAAGCCAAGTGGGATGATTTACATTCGAATAATACTTTCATTTCATAGACGCAGACGCGAGGCGCCTTCACGTACATACCTACACGATTCAAGGTTCACGAACATTCCTCGTCAAAACATGTTCGAGGCTTCAAATCCGTTTTATATCAAAGCTCACACTTGCCGGAAGTCTGAGCAAAATGTTTGTTGGAAATGCAGCTCAGCTTCTGTGGTGACAGTTAAGGCTGAAACAGATTCCTTCCGCAATCAGGAAATCGCATGCGAGTGCCTATTCAAATACATTACAATGCTTCCCGATTAATCGCATGCGGGAGGTGCGTGGGATTCATACGAGCGTGCCTCCATGTATTTGAATAGGCATGCGATTTCCTGACTGCGGAAAGAGTCTGCTTCAGACTCTAATGCAGCTGCAAAATCCGTCACAGCACCAAAGTTAGCTCACGACGTTACGTAGGCAATGGGACGTAGGTTCTCAATATACTTATGTACATCTGTTATAGGGACGGCGTCGGTGCCGACTGGCGGCAATGCCGGACTGGAGGCGAATGGCGATCGCCTCTGCACGGAGCCGTAAACAATGGCACGCACGTGCACCAGGTGTTGACAGGACCTGTCAGCAGCAGCGCCTTACGTGCCAGACTTCAGCCGGGAGGCACAAAAACGCCGCCCATCGCCGCTCGACGCATGCAAATCGGCCGCGCTAACTGCGCTTATTAGAGCCGTGTTTGGATGCGGTCGTGTTCGGTGGTAGCCAAAAAGCCGCAGCGTCAGCGCGCAGCGAGGGGAGAGGGGATGAAGTAGGACGAGGTAGGCCGGTGCGGCGGGACGGACACTGTGTTAAGCCGGTCCGAGTGGATACGTCGCCGGTACGGGGACCCGCAGTTGCTACCGTACAGCGACCCTGAGTAAATTGTCCCAGCACCCTCAGTCACAGGGAACAACGATAAGCTGTCAGAGGGCACGCACAGAAAACCTCAGCTGCTCTTGTACAGGGACCGGCAATCGATATCAATGTTGTCGGTTGTTACTGGACAGGACAGACGGCTATAGTTGGGGTTCGTGTACAGTAGCAACTGCGGGTCCCCGTACCCGGCGCGGTGCGATCCGCCGTGTCCGGCCAGTGGAACAGTCACCCGACGGGTGGCCCTCCGTGTAAAACACCACCACTGTGGCGTCAGCGGCGAGCCGGGACATTACCGGCGCACCGGGACGTTACCGGCGCACCGACAATCGACAGAAAACGGGAGCCAGCCACCGCCCCGACCTTGGTTTCTATCCATCTGGGCAGTTGGAATAGACTCCAGCTGCTTCAGGAATGCCGTTCCGCCAGAAGGCGACCGGCAAAGGAGGATAATGGAAGACACTCCAACGAAACATTGCATCACCGAACTTCTGATATAGAGAACCGGTTCCGTCGCAACCGATAAGCCCCTGTGGCCAGCCTCCGGTTTGGAGCTGTCCAATACCGCGGCGCCGGCCGCTGGAGAGGCTGACAACGGGACAGATCGAACGAGTCGGGGGTCCGATGGGTCGGTGATGGTTCATGGATGGAGGGAGATTAATCGAGGGATGGCTTCAAGGTTTGGGAGATTTGAAACGAATGGAGACGGTTTTAAGATTGTCTTTTTTCAAGTTTAAACGATAAATTTCCCATGAAATAAACATAAAACAGACTGTGTTCGTCCTGCTGTCAAGCAGAAGGTACATACACCTAACAAAAGTGAGGTAGGGTTGTAAAGAAAAAAGTAGCGAAAAGTATGTAAGTGAAACTGAATCAGAATACTTCGGTTCAGAACTTGGGCTCGCAAGTCGATATAGTTGTAGGAACGACACAAAATGAGAGCGCCAGCAAACCATACAACCCTATGAGAACATCATGTTACCACGGAAATTTATTCCCAGTTCCATACCTTATCATCCTTTAGTATACTGCAGTAGGCTATACGATGAATCGTCCTACAATCTTGGAGAAAATGAAAGGTCCCTGAAAGGTGGCCCTTATTTTAGACTATCTCCGATAAGTGCTCACATTTTCGGTAACGAGGTAATCACCCGGTGATAGAAGATTGCTAAAAGCTAGCGTATTACACAACGGTCGGTCTTATCGTTCTTTCAAAAGATCGCCCATTCACCAAGAGAAACTGGATGAGCGCAAAATGACCTTAGTAGTCGGCGCGCCCTTAAGCCCCAACCCAATTAACAAACAAGAGAAACTGGGGCGATCATAACGAATGGGCCACGGCCTTTACCCACAGCCAGCACGCCGGGTGACCAAATAGAGAGGTGGCGTGAAATCGTCGCTGTCAAACTCTCAGTCAGATACCATCTGGGGCGACTGAGGTGAGGAGGTGCCACCGTGCGACCGCACCCGGCCAGCCCGACGGCCGCCCAGCCAGGGCGGTGTGAAAGGGGGTTATTCTGCGACACCTGAGCGAGCGTCATTTCAGCGAACGACATTTGAGCGAAGCCTTTCCAGCGATTATCAATTTAAGCGATTGACTCTTTCAGCGATTGTCAAGTCGGCGAATTCAATCACAGCGATTATCAACTTAAGCGAGGACCAGAATCAGCGAAACCAGATTGAGCGAATATGTGGAGGTCAATGGGGGACCAATTGAGCGAACACAGTTACAGCGAAACCGAACGCGACGGAAGTCAATCATTTGCTACTTTTCGGAAATTCTTGCCCTTGGAATACCCGCTTGGTATGTGTCATGCTTCAAGCTGCGCGCGGCAAATTAAAAATTTGCTTTTAAGAATGGAAACCAGGGATGGAAACCACAAAAATATCTGGCCTCATTCTGCAACCTTGATCTGGAAATGTGGAACGTGATAGGACGGTGGAAGGAATGCCAAGGACCAATAATAAACTCGAGGGACGGCACAGGGGGATCTATGTAGTCTATGTTTCAGGGACCTCACTCAAATATCTGGAAATTCGTACGTTGCTTGGGGCAAGAACAAATTGTACAACATGGGGAACTGATCCAAATTCAAGCGGGGAAATTTCGCGAAAAACAGCACAAGCAATATGAATCTCGGAACATATACGTTTGGTCATCATTTTTGGCAAACAGCAGGGGGGGGGGGGGGTGAAATCGAACCGCTGGAATTTTGGAGAAATGTGGCATTAAATTTGGAGCTTAATGTCTGAACTTTGAACGCGACATCCGCCATCCAGTTCCGGATAACCATGAAAGTTCCGGAAACATTCGTTGTACGTACGTTCGCAAAAAAAAAAAAATACACCGTTACGGGACGATGAAGTGTTTCGCTGAAATGACAGTCGCTCAAACTGTAGTCGACGAAAAAGTTGTCGCTGAAACATAGCTTTCGCTTAAATTGGTAATCGCTATATTTGATAATCGCTCAATTTGATATTCGCTAAGCTGCCAGTCGCTGAAAATGGTTCGCTCAAATGACGTTCGCTCAAATGACACTCGCTAAAGTCGCTCGCACCGGTGAAAGGGGTCGAGCGCCGCGGCAGGCGCCGAGAGGCGGTCGGTGAGATGGGCAGATGCCGTAAAGAGCCGCGGAGAAAGGAGTCGGAAAGAGCCGGAAAAGTCGACAGGGTCAGGAGCCGCCGGGAGCGGTCGGTAGCGCAGCCACGGCGCAGAGGCGGCAACGGTCGGCGGCAGTGTCTCGGAGCAGGGGATCAGGAGACGGCTGGTAGCGGATCGCGTGACAGGCCGATGGTGCGGCCGTGACGAAGATCAGACTCGGCCACTGTCCAGTGTTGATGATTGGTCATAAACAGAGCGACCTGCGCCGCTGAGCCGCGGCGTGTCTCCCGTGCGCCCCGTCAGCCGCCGCTCGAAATTCGCGCACCCACAGCCGCGTAGTTTTGACACAAACCGGTTTGCCGACGATGAGCCCAGAAAAACACAGTGGCGGTGGCGGTGGCGGTGGCGGCGGGGATCCACGCCGCCCACGCAATCACGCGGAGGACGGCAGTGGCACATCCGTGAGCGGCGCCGAAGGCTGGGGCCGCCCGTCTCTCGTCTGACCGTGGGGGCCGGTCAGCGCGCCGCTCTGGAGGCCGGCCGACCAGAGGGGACCTTCGCCCGCCACCGAGCGCGTGTCGTCGCCACTAACCAGTGGTGATAAACGAGCAGCCCGGGGCGCGGCCGGCGGCCGACACCACAGCTGCGGCGGCACCGAGCTTCCGCGGCACCGAGCGGCGGCGGCGGCCCAGCTGGGCAGAGAGCCGCCACCGCCGCCACGGCCAGGGTCACCTGCCCGGCACCTCGAGGCCACAGGATCGACGCTGCATCGTCCCGCAGCTCTGAATGGCGGCCAACCTCAGCTGGAGCAGCCGGAGAGACGAGCAACACACCACCGCTGACCCGTCAGATCACCTAAGTCCAGTCAGAGCAGCTCACCGTCAGCGCGCTGCGCGGTACTTACGTAGGAGATCATCGGCAGATTGAAGGCGGCCGCCACATTCGCCTCGATCAGGCACGAGTCCTCAGGACCGAAAAAGGCCACGGTGTCGTTGCAGATCATCTCGACGAGCCGGCGCGTGCCCACCTTGGCCGTGCCCTCCGTGTCGGCGTAGCCGAGCTCCAGCGTGTGACCGGCCAGCAGGTCGGTGCGGTTGTTGATGCGCTCGATGGCCAGCGAGATGGCGCCGCTGATGGTCAGGCCGAGCTTCTCGCGGGTGCCCTTGAAGGCGGTCAGGTAGCCGATCTTGATGGGCTCGCCGGCGGCCGGGCGCAGAGCGCACAGCGCCGCCGCCAGCGGCACCAGCAGCGCGCACCGCATGGTGGCTACCAGCGCAGCACCGGCACTCGCACGGCCATCTCCACCGCGCACCCCGGCTCTCACTGGCCGGCGGCCGGCGCAACACTGCCGGCACCCGGCGCCCCCGGATCGGACCACTGTCGGGCCGACCTCTGCCGAGCGACGGTGGCGTCGCCGGGCGGCCGCGGCGATAAACCGACCGCCGGGAGGAGGCGCGGCGGCGGCATCTACGGCGGACCGCGGCGGCCGTCGGACCCACTACACCGCCCGAGATCACTCCGGCACCCGCTCTCCGGGCCGACAAAGGCCGAGATGGGGCCGGCCGGCGCCGCTGCACTTGCGTGTTGCAGGCGCGGTGCATGCGGTGGCGGGCCCGGCCGGTCGGCGCCGCCACACCGCCAGCGGGCAGGCCAGCTCGCCGCTAATAAGCACCGGCTGCAGCGTCAGCCGTGCTCTCAGGGAGCTCAGCGCCGTTACTGTCCGGGGAAGCACCCTGCACCCCGCCAAACAGGCCTGGCCAGCCATACCAGCCAGGGACGCTTTCGGGCCCGAAATAATAAATGTTCCTATGTAAGGGGTACTATAATGGGAGTCACACATGAGACTCAGCAGCGGCTATGAATAGACCAGCGGCCAGAGGGCCGAGCGGGAGCAATGCAAACCGTGTTGTGCACGGCGTCCAGCGAGGGTCGCTGCCACGGCGCAGAGAGCAGCAGCCGCCGTCGGCCCCGTCCCGTGTCGGGGGAGATGCTCGCCGAGCCCGACCATGCGGCAGTGCTCAGCCGAGCCAATGGCACCAGGGCGGCACCCACACCGCGGTTTTGGTGGTTCCACTTCCGTCAGTGGCGCTCACAGCCGCGGACACTGCCAATCACCATGCGTGATTCAGCCAATTCAGCAGTGTAGTACAGACAGGTGTTCAAATGGTTTGGTATAGGTGCCGCACCAACTAGGAATGCACGATGATGCCTATAAAGTGAGCGCTGCCCTGTTCCCCGGGACAATTAGACATGAACAGTGCGAACTCTGATGTGGTTTGAAGATAGTGAAGTGTGGAATTTCATCTATCAGATTGCCTTTATTAGCATGCCAATCACAGTTATTTGGAGACAGCATATACCATCAAGTAACGTGACTTATTAAATTACGGAAGGGTCGCGATGCTAAGTTGCAGTTTAGTCTCTGCTGATAGGATATTGCTACAAGTTCAACTGCTGTCACCACGCCAAGATTCTAGGGGGAGTGTCGATCTTATGGTCATATCATGACCCGCTGTCTGCGGCGGTTGACCTGGTGAATGTCGCAGGGGCAGCCGGTTCCATCGGCCGCTGAACCCCGGCCCTGGCCAGCTATACCCCTCCTCGTGTCAGCAGCACCGCCTCACCTTGGGCGTGCTCTTCGCCGTTCCAACTATAGCAACTGGGGGGCACATGGGCCGTTTTTTACCCCCATTTTTCCCGTCCGCGCCATTGTGTCGGGAAATATGCAGTGCGGCCCGATACGGTACCGGCCCGGTTTTGGCCGCGCCGTTCCGTGTGATGGGGGACATCAGTTGGCGCTGCTGGTCGGCCAGCGCCAGTACCATCAACACGCAGCCCTGAACACGAGCAGTTGCATGACACTCATGTCTATTTTTGAAATGCATTGTCGCGAACAATGGAATGGTGTGATTTCCATCCACCTGTGACAGTCGTCGCTTAGGACAATGCGATGTCACAACATTGATTATTTTTATTCATGCTGGTATTTCCATTAATAACCACGCTAAGAGCCAGCGCATGCATAACGAATTGTGAACTAATTTGCGAGACGATGTAAGCTCGCCCTGTGGTGGGGAGTCAGCATGTATGTTGGTCCAAGACTGTGCTTGACTGACCGCAGGAGGTCCCGAGTTCAGGACGCTTCATACATGTAAAGTTGTTATAAAAATGATTGATGAATTAAGCTGAGCATGTGTATTCTGTTTACGACTATGTCTCTCCCATAATACATACATTTAATGCTAAATACTGGTTAATGGCTATCTACGAATACAAGTCCTAACCCGCAGAGGGCGCCCTCCATCCGATGAGCCTGCCAGAGAGCCCTTCCCCAAGGTGGTGCCGTGCCCAGAGCCCTCGGGGCTTGTGAGCGAGCGGGGTGGTTGGCGGCTGAGGACACCGACCCGGCCGGGTCCACACATGGCCCCTCACCTTCACCTGTGAGAGGCTGCCCATCCGTCGGCGTCGAAATAAAAACATTTTATAAATAAAGAGGATGGCGAGCCTTGGGCCGGCGCGCAGTGCGACGACCCTCCGCAAGGCGAGGCGGTTTAGCGCGGCGACGGTTAAATTCCTAAAGGTGGTTATTCACTGTGTGGATTATAATCAACGAACATTCTATTTATGGTAAGTTAAAGTAACGAGAAACCAAATGGGTCCTAATATCAGCCTTGCTTACCCTGCATCATACGTAACCGATGTCAGTATTCAGTACCTACGTCATCATTTGGCCAGCTGTTAGACAAGGATACCGCCGAGCGTGCATTGCAAATCGTTCCAAGGAGTGGATAGTAGCACGAAGTGGTTCTAGTGGTTTCAGGAAGCACGTTTCTTCGTGGCTCATTCATAGCTTGGCATTTTTCACGCCGCCTCATTAGTGCATGTACTCAGTGAACTCGCTCTCTTGTGCCTAGTGAGGCTACGACTCCGTTCGGTTGATGTGCCAGTCATGAACGCTCAGTTCGTCTCAATGCGGTGACGCAGTTCCCACTATGGCGCTGACCTACCGGTCAGATATGATGTTAAACTCGGTGCTTCCTGCGTGATAAGGTATATTTACAGAAGGCGCGAGGGTGTCACACGCTGGCGGACCGGCCGGCAGTCCCCAGTGACCGGCCGGCGACCCCCGGTGACCGGCCGGCAGTCCCCAGTGACCGGCCGGCGATCCCCGGTGACTGGCGCGGCCCCTCGGTCGGACCGGTACGTCCCAGATCGAGGACACGTCACGCTAAAACTCTATCAAACCAGCCGACAAACAGGCCAACGGCCGCTGGGCCAAAACACCCTCTCTGGATGGACATTGCCAAAGCACTTTCGGAAGCAGTAAGATCGTAGGCATGGTAAAACACCGAGTTATTACTGATTGTGCCAGGAACTTTCCCATAACATGTGAGCAACGCGAGGTGGAGCTGAGACTCAAAATCGCCACCCTTATATTATTCGCTGTGCTTAAAATCGACAAAACGCACAAAAACGATTGACTCGGCGTATGACCCTGTATGACATTGTCTGATAGCCAGGAAGCGGGCGGACTGGTGGGCAGCGGCCCATTGCTAAGGATGCCAGCGTGCTACTCCGTGACCGGTGACCTGCTCCACATCCCGCCCGAGTCTTCCTCCCCTGAGCGTCTCTGGCGTCACACAGCCCGGCACGCGCCGGCGACTGCGGCAGCGCCGTACCAACTGATCAGAACCGCCCGTCACCAGCCGCCCAGCAGGCCAACACTCGTCCACGTACAGAGGCCCCTGCGCGAGCGCACAGGTACTACAGTTTGACATCCTGGTACCGTCTGTTTGTGATTGAGGCGAACTCAGTCGACCTGGCGAGCACAGACCGACCGCTGGCCAAAGATGAGGCTAAGTTTAAAACTACTCTCCTGCCGGCCGCCACCCAGCCCCGGTCCCGACTGCCCCTCGTCTGGGGACACCCGGCGCACGGCAGTGCTCATTGTCCTACGGCAGAACCACGTCCACTCGGAGAAAGACAGACACACCACCGGCCCTAAAACATCTCGCCACGTCTCCCTCTCCACACCCGCGCCACACTCCACACAGGGAGAAAGGAGTCAAACCTATCGGCGCAGCCGGCCCCGCGCCGCCAGTCCCGTCCGTAACAATCTCAAAAACAGCAACAACAGCCCCACTACGGGACCCAGCTAGCCTGCCGCCGGGCGGCCCGGCGCCACTCAAACGCCTCTCATCACCAGACTACGGTCAACAATGCACTAGATGGTAGCGAGCCGGCGCCGAATCGCTACGAGGCGGCCGCCGGCGCGGGAGTCGGCGCGTGGCGCGGGAACGCCAGGCCGAACTTGGTCTCGAGGCCCTCGAGGATGGGCACGGCCACGCGATAGCCGCCGACGTGCGCCGGGTTCTCCTGTTTGACGGCCTCGGTGAGCGAGAGCGGCGCCGACGTCTCCGAGCCGGCCGGTCGCCTGTCGGACGGAAGGGCAGCTCAGGTCAGCTCAGGTTGGGTCGAGGAGGCCGGGTCAGGTCGTGTCAGGTTGGGTCTTTATGGTCGGGTGAGCTCGCGTCTGGTCAGGTCGGTGAGGTCGAGTCGTGTCAGGTCAGGTCGGTAAGGTCGGGTCGGGTCGGGTCGGGTCGGGTCGGGTCGGGTCGGGTCGGGTCGGGTCGGGTCGGGTCGGGTCGGGTCAGCTCAGGTCAGGTCAGGTCGGTAGGGTTAGGTCGGATCGGGTCAGATAAGTCTAAGTCGGGTAAGGTCAGATGACGTCAGGTCACAACAGCTTAGGATGTGTCATGTCAGGTCTTGTCAAATGAAGCGAAATCAAGTCAGTTCAGATATGCCGGGTCCACTAGGATCAAGTCAAGTTGCAGTCAATTAACCCGCACCCCGATGGGTTATTCAGCCATACGCGCCCTGCTGGGGGGGGGGGGCAGATTCTGCCCCCCCCCCCCATCTAACTTCCAAACCGATGGTCGTAGAAAGACGGGGAAAACGGTAATCGAAAGCTCTCAACAAGGCGGATCTTAACCCGCGACCTGGTGGGGGGGCTATTTTTTGCCCCCCCCCCTCTAGACTTTTTGATATATCTCCAGAACCGCTGCGCCGATCGTCACCAAACTTTCAGTACCCTCCCGGACATCAATTTTACACATTGTGACCAAAAATTTTTTCCAAAGGCTATGATAGGGTGGCCGGAAATGACGTCAGAGTGACGTCATGTTCTGCCGTTTTCGACCCAAAAAAGGGTTTCGCGGGAAGAGCTGTCAGGCCTATAGCTTTGCAAATACAGAAAAATGATAATGACATAAAAGCTGTAGAATTGACAGGACTACAAAACTGTTATCTCGGATTTTTTAAATTTTTGGATTTTGACCCCCAAAAATCAAAAAATATTTTTTTTTGGAAATAATCATCGAAAAATCCAAAAAGTTTTTTGAAATTTGCAAAAACCGGAACATATATGATAGTCCTTACCGCCTTCCATCCATATACCAAATTTTAGATTGATACCTCTTTTTTGGCGAAGTTACAGCGAAAAAAACTGTTCAAAATTGATGACGTCAAATTTTCAAACTCAATTTTTAGCAATTCTAGACCCCGTAGCGCAAAACAAAG